TTAAAATCTAATATTTTACCTATATTTACAGTGTAATTTTTCGACGAAGGGTGGTCAGTTGACCACCCTTAGGGCCATGTACCTTCGCCCCTGATTACAAGGATCATGTATCCAGCAATCCAATCGATACAAAGGGCAACAAATCCCTTGACTAGCTGCTTATTGCTCACGAAAACAGCAGATCTATACTATAGTCAAGTCGTTAAATTCGTCTTTCTTTTTTATTTTTATCTTTTATTCATCTATTTTATACTTTGACCTAATGAAAAATAGGGTTGATGATATTGGCTAAAATATAAAGGGAGATGAGAGCCCTCTTCCATTAGCACTTGAGGAATTAACTATATGAAATACACATGTGCAAATTATGAGATTAATTGCATAGAAATCAATTTCTCGGTGTTTGAAAAGCTGCTCATTGTAGTGCAGTGTAGTGAATAGAAAAGGCAAACTAATATTACAAATGACAAATGAAGGTTGAAGGTATAGAGAATATGTCCGATGCCTTGCCCTTTTGTCTCCCTTGAGTAATTTAAAATGATATATTACTATCGCAGAAACATTATTACTTACTATAACTTAATCTATCATATTATATAGTACACTTGAATGATTATTTTTTTGTTACATGTATGAAAATGATAATTAAGTTCGATTATTAATATATATAGGTTAGTAGAGACTTTCTCTTAAGATCATAAAAAAGTTGACTTTACATTAGAAAGTTTTAAAAGAAATAAATTGCGCGAAATTAATGTTAATTTCTCTCCGATTATTTGCATGTCTCTTAATTTTATTAAAGCTGACTTACCATCACATCATAAGGTTAGTAAATGATTGAGTCATTGAAAAACACTAATATCATATTATAGTTAATTATTCCTCTACCTTCCAACTACTACCATTAGTGTTGACATTTGAGAACCTAAAAAACCATATATATACTCATAATTTCCAATTCTTGAAACCATACTCCTTTTCTCCTCCTCATTTCCAAAGAAAAACTCAATATATCTTTCATAATTTCCAAAAATGGTTCGTCCATTAATGTCAAGAAATAATGGTCAAAGCTTATGTTCCATGCCATTAGGAATAGGTTTATTTCTTTCAATAATAGCTCTCTTAGCCTTATGTGCTAAACATGGAAGAAAAGCTTCAAGAAAATACCATATGGCTACTGAAGAAACCAATGAAGAGAAAATAGCTCCAAAGTCACCATTACTTTGTCCAAAGCAACTAATTACAACTATAAGCAGTAAGACTATGCCTTTCCTTAACCATAAAAAGTATGGTGAAAAATCTGACGAGAAAATTGGTTCAATTGCAAGAAAAGAATTTGGACAAGGTGGATTGTGGCAGAAGGCAATTTTGATGGGTGAGAAATGCCAACCACCAGAATTTTCAGGGGTGATTTACTATGATCCTTTTGGTAATAGAGTCTCTGAGCTACCAAGATCACCAAGAGCTAGTCCTATGGCAAGACCATATGCTTATTGAGTTAACTTTTCTTTTTCGGTAAGAGGGGAAATCCACAGCCGCTACAATCTCTGTTACAACTTCTGTCTTTCGGGTGAGCACTCTGTGGTGAGCACTTTGTACGCACTGGGTAAACCTCCCCCTGTGTAGTAGCCTGCAAACCACACAGGGGATGTAAATTAAACCGCACTAGGCAACCCCTGTGGGACAGGCTCAACCCAGAAGGCATTGAGAGGGGAATCGATCCCAAGTCATCCATATGGATGATCACCCTCCAAGCCAATTGGGCAATCCCGAAGGGTCTTATTGAGTTAACTTTATAGGTAGAAAACTTGTCTCTTTTGGCAATAAAACTTTTCATGATTTTCTCTTCTCTTTTTACATTACAATGTATATATTTGAAATTAAATGTTCGGTAAATTGGACGTTGGGGAGTTTCACACCCTTGGATTATGATTGTTATTTGTTCTGCATCCCACTCTCGCTAAGGAAATATTATTGGTTATTTTTTTATTTAGCATTGGACGGCAATTCTCACCTCATGAGCAATATATATTTTTCGGTGTTGAGTTATTTTCCTAAAAGGTGTCTGAGTTAGTCCTTATCCAATGTTGGCTCCACGTTAGTTTACGCATAAAATATCCAGTGCTAAGTCTGCAAGAGTATTAAGTGTCCCATATTGATGAGGGAATTAGCTTTCAATCTTAATCACCACTAATGACATTTTCTGAGTTCAAATCATGTTATCGCTTTTTAAAAAATTTGAGCAAAAGAAGCTAATAAATCGAAATACAAGGTAGGTGTTTATGCTGAACCCCACGACCACGGAAGATGAAATTCCGGTTGGATGGATTAATTAAAAATATATATGGAGTTTGTGGGGTCCCAAAGTGAACTTTATTTACAACAATAAAACAAAAAAGAAAAGAAAAGAAAAAAGAAATAAAGAAAAGGAACGGGAAACGAAAGCTAACCATTTGCGAAGAAAAATTCAGTTTCAGCCAGCTCCCAAATATTACAAGTTTATTATAGGGATAGATGGACCCTTCCCAATGATAGCACGTCGTGTTAATGTATTATATGTTACAAATTGTTTCCATTTAAAATGTCACAGAATACATGTCAAATAGGAAATATTAGGGGTGTGTTTGGTACGATGAAAAATCTTTCCTTGGAAAATGTTTTCCTTGATTTTCTTACTTATTTTTGGTGTTTGGTAAGTTTAGCGAAAAATGTTTTGAAAAATAAATAATTTAGGCAAATACTATATGAGACGAAATGGGTAAGGGTGGGGAGAGTGGTAGATCGGGGTCTAAGGCTCGAAATTAATGGCGGTACCAATGTTAGAGAGGAGGGGTGGCAGTGGGGAGGTGGGGTTGTGGGTGGGTGGGTGGGGTGGTGGGCGTGGTGGGTGGTGGCATCGTGGGGGTGAGGAATAGGATG